AGAGAGCCTTCATCCCTGGTGTTTCATGAAGATCATTTTTCATGTCCTCCTCTTCATCCATGTTTGCCAAGGAATATTTCAAAAACTCTGTGTTATGTTGGATGTTGTTGTCTTCTTTGTTTATAACCTGTATGAATCCATCCCCATCTTAGGTAGCATCCACAAATTCAGAATCATCACTGCTAGAATCCTCATTGTCCTCTGACTGAACATGGTCATCCCCTCTATCAACTACTAAGATGGAATCAAATTCAAATAGAGTCACCAATTTCTTGAATCTTTATGAGTATCAATAATTTTTTTCTGATCATGAGCTATCAAGGTTGGGTTATTTGTCTTATCATTATTTGTGCTTTTGCTTGGTAGAGGAGGAATCTTTGGAACATATAATGTTCACTTGTAAGATTGATAAGCTAGTGTGGAAAGAAATGGTGTGTTGGTCAGGTTTGGGGCCGGAACCGTGTGAAGTGTTGTGAGAAGCTTTTTTGAATGGTATAGAGGTAGTGGGGAGAAGAATGTGAAAGACAATAAGAGACGTTTAATTTGGTTGGCGTCGATTTAGGGCATATAGAGGTGTAGGAATGATATCATTTTCAATAATGATAAGTGTATTGTTTCTAATCTCATTTGGGACATAGAGATGAAGGCGGGGAAGTGGTCCTTCATTAGAGAAATTTCTTATTCCGAGTATAACTTCTACGAGTTTTGCAAAGATCCATTATATTATTTGAATTAAGTTTCAAATCATTTGCAATTTTTATCAAATCCAAGTTTGCTCTCGATATTTATAAACGGGTTGAGTATCCCTAATATTCTTATCAATGAATCCTTACTTAAAAAAAATATATTATTTATATTGTCCATCAGGGCTGCATGTGCCTTGTTAGAGGTACCTTACAATGTCTTCCACAACGAGAGGAGCTTTAGCTTTCTCAAACATGATATCCTTAACTTGCACATATTGTTTTTGTTCAACTGGTTTGTGTTTTGAATTTCTCAATCACTCCTTGTTATTAGGTTCCTATTGCCCATTATTCTTATTGCAATGAGAGATATGATGACCAATCATCTTAGACTAGCCTTTCTACCAAAACCGTATGCCTTATTATGCCAAATCTATGGCTATCAGAACTCTAACAAACGAGGAACACTTGGTTGGTCACAAACATAAATAAATCTCACTTAGGCACACACACAAACATGAAAAAATATAGGAAAGAAAAAGAAAAAAATAATTAAACATTATATATTTTTGAAATATTTAAATAACATGTATCTTTATGAGTGTGTGTCTGAATAAATTTTATTTGGGTTTGTGTTTATATAAGTATTTCTCCTAAGAAACTGACCAAATGTTTTATTAAACATTGGTTTCGAAGCAAAGGATACGTGCAAATTGGTGTTCCAGAGATTACAAGATATTATATGTTATACCAATATATACTATGTTATTTTATAATTTTTATACATATTTAATTTAAAGAGACGCTTATAAAAAATCATAAAGAGGAAAGTTGGGAGATATTTTTTTAAATATGCCTTTGACTTTGTAAATATATTATTGTTCACTTTTAAAAAATAAATCTGTAATCTTTAATTTGAAGTTATACCACCTTTTACTTTGGAACCTTTTTATTTTAGTTCTTACCAAACTTATTCATATTAAATTAATTTATATAATGTATAGTATTTAATTTTAATTCTTCAAAAAGACAAACAAATATTAAAAAGATTTATAATTTATAAATAAATATTACAAAACTAAAACATATTTAAACTCCTGATTATTAAGAAATTGAAAACTAATACAAATTTTATAAAAATTAAAAAAAGTTATTGTAATATCTCAATTGACATGTTAAAGGAGTATAAACTCATGGTTTAGGATTCAATCTCTTGCTATAAATTTATTTATACATATGTATTAATTTAAATAAATTATTTATGTTAATAAACCATAATTTTAAAAAAGAATAAAGAAATTATATTTTTCAAAAACTAAACATATATTTAAATTCTTGATTATTAATAAATTGAAAACCAATAGTATTATATAATAATTTAAACCAAAATATATATTTTACTAAGAACTAAAAATATATTTAAATTTTAAATTATTAAGGAATTACATTTTTTTTAATATAAGGAGACTTTTTTTTATAAAAGGAGTTTTTTTTTATATACTTTTATAATCCATAATACTTTATTTATACTTTCAATAAAGAATACTTTATTTATATACTACAAATAGGAATTAAACATCGAGCCAACGCGTTAAATTCAACTTACACAGCGTACATAACTCACTCAATTAATATTTTATATTTTTTGTAAAAGTGAATCAATACTTGCTGAATAAAACATCAAATGTTTTTTATTTAAAAAACTTTAGTTTTCAAATATTAAATGGTTAGGCATTAAAGAGTTTTTCTTTTATTTCATATTTTATGTAGCCATATCTTTTGTTACTTAAAATATTCTGCTAAATGTTTTATGGTTTAGCATTTCCCTACTTTAAATAATACTAAATTCAAGATTTTAGATTTAATAATCCGTAATTAAAAAAAAGTTCCATTAACAAATCACATATTCAATTAATAAAAATTGATATGTTTATATATAATTTTTTATTAAAAGATATTTTAGTATTTCTAATTGTTTTAGATAATTTAATTATTAAATTTATTTTATTAGAGTCTATGTGGCATTTTTTGTGTATAAATAGGCTAGTTGTAAATGTCATAAATACAACAATAATATTTATTCATTTTGTAGTTCTTACAATCGTCATTCTCTTTGTTTTTTATTTTTGTGCACCAACAAATTGGTATCTAGAGCTCCGGTTGGATTCACGGGAAACACGAGTGAAACGGTGAGGCGTGAGGCGTTGTGTGATTGATTTTGGTTCTTGAATTTGTGTTGAATCTTGAATAAAATCACATTTTTTTATTCTGTGAGATTGAGAAATACTGTGTCTGTGAGATCTAAGGGTTCTGTACAAGGTTGAAGATGACCGAAAATTGTAGTCTAAGCACCAAGCTTTCAGTATTCAATGGCAAAAACTGAAATCGTTGGATGATTCAGATGCGTGTGTTGTTTGGCGCCCAAGATGTTCTTGATCTTGTTATAAATGGTTATGTTCTAGTTGCAGCAGATGCGACGGAGGAGCAGAGAAATATGCAGAGATACAAGGAAGAAAGATCAGTAGACGTTGTTCTTCATTCATCAGTGTGTGGATGAGAACGTGTTTAAGAAAATTCTTGATTCGACGACAGCGAAGGTTGCGTGGGACACACTAAGTAGGTGTTACGGTGGTGACACATCAGTGAAAAAGGTGAAGCTTCTGTCTCTTAGAAAGCAGTATGAGAATCTCAACATGAAGGACAACGAAAAGATTTATGAGTACATCTCTAGAGTGATTCTGATCACTAATGAGATGAAAGCTTGTGGAGAAACCCGCTCTGAACAAGTAATCATTGAGAAGATATTGAAGTCACTTATTCCTCAATTTGATTACATTATTGTAGCAATTGAATATTCTAAAGATCTGGAAACCATGAGAATATAAGAGTTGCAAAGCAGTTTATAGGCGCAAGAGTTACGTCTGACTGAAAGAACTTCTGAGAGGGAAGTTGAGCAGGCTATGAAGGCTTCTTTTGTCAAGAAGGACCATAAGCATTCTTGGTAGAAACCAAGAATACGTGGTGATAGATTCTAGAAGTCAGAATCCTCTGTTTCTGATGACAAGAAACATCAGAAGGAAAAGGAGAAGTTTGACAAGGAGAAGTTTGACAAGGAGCGTAAGCAGTTTGACAATTTTACTAAAGATTGATGGTCAAACAAAGGAAGGAAATCAGAAGAAGAAAATATAGTCAGAGGAGATTCTGATGATGAACTTCTGCTATTGATGATTGTCTGATGGAAAGTGTTTGACAGATTAGTGGTACATTGATACTGACTATTCAAATCAATTATAATTTTGTCTCCTTATTTTATTACATTTATAAAAAAATAGTTTTTCTATTTCAAAATCAATTGATTTTTATTCTTTTTTTATTACACTTATAACAATATTGATTTCATGCAATATTTATCGTTCAAAAGTTCTGAATCAAAACTTTAAAAGTAGTGACTTTTGTTTTAATTATATAATTTAATTTTTAATTTTAATTTCTATTAACATAAATTATTTAATTATAAAAATATATTATCTTTTATTTTTAGTCATTCTTTATCGTGTCACCGACTTTTATAAGATTTTTTTAATTTGTCGTCGAAAAACATTTAAAAATATTTTAGAAATATAAAAATACAAAATTTGAAGTATTTATCAAACAATAGATTTATTTTATCCTTATGCAATTGAATCGAAAATTTAATAAGATAAAAAAAAATCAAAATTAGATGTATTTACAAAACAACAAATTTATTCTATCCCTATACAATTGTGTCAAAAAATCACAAAGTTTTGAATAAAATGTAGGAGTTGAAATCAGATTTTAAAAAACGGTCGTGATTATATCACACTTGCATGTGATTTTCGTGATTTTGATTGGTATGAATATCACAATATTAATTACAATTGTAATAAATTAATCATAATTTATTCTTTATATAAAAATAAACTATAACAATATTGGTATCTGTCAAAATTGTTTTTTTTCGTGATGGCGTGTTAGAATTATTATTACAATAATTATGATAAGAAGGACAAAATTGCAAATAAATTTTAATTTATATGTTTCATATGAATTATTATATATATAGTAATCTTAGTTATTAAGAAAGAATTGTTCTTCTCAGAGAGTATTGTCCTAAAAACTGCAAATATTGTTTCGAGAAACATGAAGTTAAGTTAGTAGCAAACAGAAGTTTTTCAAATTTCCAATCCATCTCACAAATAATTGTCTTTTCTCTTTTCAATACCGAAAATATAGCCCATAGAGTTCTTTCAATATACAACCAGCTAGATTTACGTCGAATCTCTCCGATCAAAAAACATGGCGGGAATGTCAGCCGTAATAATCGTCATTTGCGTTTTACCGTCGATGTTGCTGGTGGCCAAAGATATCACCTTACCGGTAATACGGTTACCGTCAGAAGTTAGCATTGAAGGGAAGAACGTTTGCGCGGGGACGGTGGCGCCGTCGTCGTCATGGTGTCCAGTAAAGTGTTTTCGGACGAACCCGGTTTGTGGTGTCGACGGCGTGACGTACTGGTGTGGTTGTGCTGAAGCTGCATGCGCCGGTGTGATGGTTCGGAAAATGGGTTTTTGTGAAGTTGGAAATGGCGGTTCGGTTCCTGTCTCTGCTCAGGCACTTCTTCTTCTACATATTGTGTGGCTTATTGTTCTTGCATTTTCTGTCCTTTTTGGTCTGTTTTAATTCCTTAATACTTTGGTCTTTTTGTGTAATAGAATAGAATATAATTATAGATTACTAGTAACTTATGACTCTGTAACTTTCACTGTTGATTCAACTCCTTTAATGGAGAATTCCGGTGACACAGCCAAGCCCTATATAATAATGTATGCTTGTCCCTTTTAGTTTTCAAGGTATTTTATTTTATTTTATCTATCTTTAATTAATATTTTTAATATTTTTCATCTTTCATTAATGATAATTAAAATATATCAATAACCAAGGAATCTTTTTCAAAGTATGATATATTATTATTTTCTTTTAAAAATAGGAGCATAAAAATACCTTTAATATGACAACTCATAATTGAGGTGTAAAAAAAAACATGCTTTTTTTAGTTTGTAAAAATTAAGGAGGACAGTTAAGAACAAAGCATACATACTCGTGCCGTCTTGTTTTTTTTCCTTCCGTTGCCGCAAACCAGAGTTTATATTTTCTCTTTTACTTTTATTTTTTATTTATTATTTTGTCATCATCGAACAAATTATTTTAATGGTAATAAAATGAGTGCAACGTATTTGACTAAAAAAGAGAGTATAGCTTATTTGCTGAAATATTAAACAATTAGTGTTTATTTATTTTATTATTATTACTATTTATTAAAAAAACTATTATTGATAATAACAGTTACACAAATTGTTGTAAAAAAAAAAACTTACAATAATTAATCTGTAGAAACACAGATAAATAAATAATTATTTAAAAAAAATAACATTTTTAAATAATTCGAGTGAATTATTTCTTTTTAAACATTATAAAAAATTTCTTAGTTTAAATAACAAAAATATTGATTAAAAAAATGAGATAGTTCAACAGATATGTATTAATTAATAGATAATATTTAATTTAAGTTTTAATATAAATAAACTTTTTATATTTATAAATCAACAAGTTCTAAATTATTAATAATAAAGATGAAGATTCAATTAAAGATTTATACTTTGATTGGTCAGAAAAAGTTTTTTATTTTAGATAAATTTAATAAGTATTAAAAGATGATTGATATAAAAAAAATATAGAATTAGAGTCGAAATCCACTTAAAAGTAGCTAAATCTAAAAAAAAATAATCATAGTCTTTTTTTTAATAATCACTTTTGATCTCTAAAAGCAAAGAATAAAAAAAAAAGAAAAAGAAATTGCAGTACAGCCCATTTTAGCGAAAAAATTCGAACAACTATTATCTTCCTTGCATATGTGAGTAATCAAAAAATTCATCTCCAAAATAAAATTGATGCAATTAAGCCAACGATTCCTTAATTTCTAAGGAACTAAATCCAATTTATCTTTAGCAAAAGTATTGACAATCGTAGAAGAATATGTCTCCATCCAAAGATTATTTCCGTCTTGTCCTTAGCCAACTCAATTCCACGTAAAACCCCGCAAAATTAAGCTAACAAAGAGTTACTATAAGTTAGAGGTTTCGCAAAAGCAAGGGAAAACTCCCCTGAGTTGGAATGAAAAATCCCACCACAACTCGAGGATCTCGGAGAATCCGTGAAGGAGTCATCCACATTACATTTCATCCACCCTAAAGGAGGTGGAGTCCAAATAATCTCCCTGATACTAGGCGCCTTAGGAGGGTTAATTTTTAAAAGAAAAGCTTTCAACACAGTGAAGTCATACATGTTGTGTTTATACGGAAAATTTGCAGAAGAATTGTTTAATTAAACTGGACCAAAATGTTAGCGCGAATGGAAGAGATGTTTGGAGTCGTGTTGAAATAACGAACCACATTCCTAGCATTCCAAATAGCATTAATGACAAAAATGCTAGCAGCTTGAATAGCCAAAGAGCCCTGGGACGAAGCTGGTTTCAAAGACAAGTTCCAAAAGTTGTCACGCGTAATCTGAACGTGCAGAATAAACCCCAACCATTTCCAGAAATCAGCAGCAAACGAACAAGAGAAAAAAGATGATCAGAATTCTCAACATGCCAATTGCAAAGAGAACATTTGGACACAATCAAAAATCCCCGCAGATTTAACTGGTCATCGGTTGTAATTTTATTGTGATGCAGCCTCCAAACCAAAAGCGAACGAGAGAGAGGTATGTTATAATTCCACAGATTCTTAGCCCAAAGAGCGTGTGTCGAATTTCAATGAAAGAAAGCATAAGAATCCTTTAAATAAAGAAGGCCATTAGAGGAGCTTTTCCAACACAGGAGATCCTCCCTATTACATTCCTGAACAATAAATCCCATCAATCTCTCTTCAAGAAATGGGAACAAATCAAACCAAGAGACATAAATATTCCAATCCAAATTGCTTGAGTAATAAAAAATAAAGGAATCAAAGTTGATATTAACATCAAAAAGGGAGACATTACCAATCTCATTAAGGAAGGAAGAACCTGACCAAGCATCTTTCCAAAAGTGGATTCTGTTTCCGTTTCCCAAGGACCAATAAGAATCATCTAACACTGAATTATAATGATCTTTAATCCCAAGCCAAATGGAAGAATTAATGTGATGGTTGATCTTACCAAAATTTCTAAGAACTCTCAGTCTGAGAATATAAGCCCAACAAATCGAGGAGTTGAGGAAATTCCAACAAGCTTAAGCTTGAAAGCTTTATTGAGACTAATTAAAGAACGGATGCCCATGCCTCCACACTTCTTAGGCTGACAGATTTTCTTCCAAGAGACAGTAATCATTTTCCTCTACGCAATTTTACTGCTCCAAATGAAGTTCTTAGAAAGGCCCTTAATAGCTTTAAGAATTGAATTCGGCCAAGAATAAATAGCCATTTTATGAGTTACCATAGAATGGATAACAGGTTGCACCATTACCATCCGACCAGTAATAGAAAGAAGAGAACCTCTCCAAGCTAAAAACTTCGTCAGAATTCTATCCGCAATAGACTGAAAAAACTAGGACTTGGGCCTTCCTTTAAGAATGGGAGAGCCAAGATAATAAAAAGGAAAGAACCATTTGCTAAAACCAGATAAGTCTAACAGATTCTTGAATCTATTTACCGACATCTAACCTGCAAAAAGAGAAGATTTTGAGGGGCTAAAAACTTGACCCGGGGCAGCGCAGCATAAGAGGAAAAGAAAGAGATCAGGGCTTATAAATTAGCTTTAGTGCTTTTACAAAAAAAAATGAGAATGTCATCCGCATAAAGCGTGTGGTATGGAAATGGTGAGTTTTTAGGACCGAGCATCGCCTTAACAACACCAATAGAAACCAATCTAGATATGCTTATGCCAAGAACTTCTTCGGCTAAGAAAAAGAGTAATGGAGACAGTGTATCGCATTGATGGACACCCCTAACACATTCGAAGTATCTATTAGAAGCACCATTAATAATAACAGTAAGATGAGTTAAATCTAGAATTTCTGAAATCCAACCCAAATACTTGGAAGAGAAACTAAAACTATCCAAAACCTTGAGGAGAAACTTCCAATTTAGAGTATCAAAAGCTTTTATGACATCAACTTTTATCGCAATATTATCGCCGAAACATTTCTTATCCATCATATTAAAGGCCTCAGAAGCTAAATATATGCAGTCATAAATATTTCTTCCTCGAATGAAGCCTTTTTGCTCCTTGGATATGAGAAAAGGCATAAGAGAATCCAATTGATTCGCCATAATTTTCGAGATGATTTTAAACTTAAAGTTCGCCGGAGCAATAGGTCTAAACTTATCCAAAGATTTGGCACCATTGATTTTCGAGATATGAACTAAAGCACTTACATTAAAGTTTTGCATTATCCCCCCTGTTGTACCCCAAAATTTGCCCTCCCATATTCTCCAAGAAATTGCCAAGTCAAGCTTCAAAATTCCCCAAGGGTTGCACAGTGTAAGGGCCTCCTGAACAGTCAAGATTAGGGTTTGTGTTCTGATCAAGAAAATGAAGTTTCCAAAGGTCCAATAAAGTCCCACATGCCTACAAATATGGTCAAGCATCCTCATATCAAGTTTCAAGACTTTCAGCACAAAATTGCACAGTCAAAAACCCTAATTGCACTACAATCAACTGTAGGGGCAAAATGGTCATTTGACAGTCAAAAGTTCAAATTTTTGATCAACATCTCATTTTGAAGCCACAAACATCATTTGATCAATGCTTGATCATGATTCTCAAAGCTTGTCTCAAAAATCATCAAGATGTAAAAAATTTCTTATTTGGACAGTTGAAAAAGTCAACTGTAAATTGACCAGGGCATAACTTTCACATGGATTATCAGAAAAATTCCATCCAAAGCTCATTTTGAAGAGAAAGACATTTCCTACAACTCATCTTCATACTTCAAGTCCAAGAAATTCTCTCATAAAAAGTTATCAATTTCAACATTATAGGTCATTTTCAAAAGTCAACAAAAAAGGACTTTAAGTCAAAGGCCATAACTTGAGATTGGTAAATCAAAATGACATGGGACCAAAGGCATTGGTTAGAGGACTCAAAGAACTTTCCAAAATGTCCAAGAACATGAGCAAAGCTTAAAAATTGAGCAAGTTATGCCTTGTGGAAGTTGGGAAATTTTTGGATATTTTGAAAAGTCAACATTGATTCAAATGACCTAAAATTGCTAATGGGCCTATTTTTCTTCCATAATTCATTATCCCAAGCATGTGAACGACCATTAGGCCCAAAGGGAAGTTTTTCTCCATTTTTATTTATTTATTTGGATTTTTTATTATTAATAAATCATTTAATTAAATAAAAATACATGAAAAATACAAAACTAATGAAATCAAATCTCTTTGTGCAGAAAATACTCTCATTGGACATTCAAGATTCGTGCATGATCATTTTGGAAAGTTTTGGCATGATTTGGTATCAAATTGCATGGAAAAGATTGAAAAAATAATGCTTGGAAAATCAAATATTGAACAATCAAATCTTGGATTCTTTTGATCAAATTTTTGACCTAAATCATTACTACATATACAAGGAACACAACCCTAATGCCATTAACCACTGAGCTGCGCAGAAAACCCTAAACAAACTTGCATTTT